TACTTTGTTGGGTTTTTAATTTTTTACAACTAAGATTTGCAACGAAAAAATCAGAAAAAATTCCCTAACATAGGTTGAAGTTGCTTAAAGACTATTTGTTTTTTTTTCTTATTAATTTCGATCTTGAATTGCATTCGAATTTGATTGAACGCTATTGGCTGAATCCTTGAAAGGAAGATATGTTTCTTGAAACTACCTTTCTGGTGGAGGTGCCGGTAACTAGTCCATTTGCATCAAAGCGAATGTATCCGTTCACTTCACCTGGTCATCTTCACAGAAACGGATATATACGGTGGGTCCATAAAAGATTGTATATTTTCAAAAATTTATTCGCGGCCTCCTGATGTAGTACGAGAGTGCTTTTAGAAAAGAAATCTTTCTAAGTTTTTAAGCATACCTTACAAAGAGTCGATATGTACACTCTTCATGAAAAAAAAAAATGAAAATCGCCTTGAAGTACTGATAACAGATGTCGTTTTCGCATATTCTACCTCACAAAACGCCTTTTGTTGTTTATTCCGCGCCATTTTACAAAAACAGTACACATGCGCACGAACTGTATGTCAGGTAAAACTTTTGCAGTTGAGTTGCAACCAGTGCTTGTTAATTACATGTCTCTCCACACATGTCACATTGCAGAAAGAAAGAGAAATAGGTACATTCTTTTACGGACTCGCTGTAGTTTAACATAGGAATTTATGCCAACTTTTAACAGATGTTACTGACTCCAAGAATATTTTTCATAAACATTAAAATTATTAATTTTGTATTGTTATTCTTTGTAATACAATAGTAATAATAACAATTTCATTTTTATAATCAAATGTCTCTTTTATTTGGGTTATGTTTGTATGGATTCAATGTATAAATGTATAAAAAATTCGACATATTATCTTATTATAGTTGGACCGAATCTCAAAAATTACATATTTTGAATCCGTTTTATTACAGTTGATGTCAATTTAAAGAAAACAAAATTTAACGATATGAACATATTTTGCAAATATTTAGGTTATCTTGAGAGTAGTAATCCATAACCAAATTGTTTTACAAATTGTTAGTGGTTAACGATACCTAATGATTGTTTACAATACCAACCTAACTGTGAACCAATTCAGAAACACCCTTAATTTATAGACGGTACGAATACGCTAACAATTAATTAATTTTAATGAAAAAAATCTGTTCTGTCAGTTGGAACACAAGCTTACCTAAAGTTGAATAACTTTTGGTAAAACTTTTGGCGAAGTAGCCGAAATTTTTTAAAATCTCATTTGACCAACACTGAATTTTATTAAAAATTTTTAACAGTGTTGCTTCGCACTATTCACCTTTCATACTATTCATGTGTTCATTTAGTGCTTCTTCTGATGTTTCGAGGAATACTTTGTTCATTACATTATACGTTTCATCTAAAAGCGTCGGAAGGTCATCTTCTGTTAAACCTTTGGTAGGAATAGGAGGCAAAATTGTAATATAACTCACACCTGAAACATATGTTTTATCTTTATAGAAGTAATATAAATCGCTTTTTTATATAGATATCCTTATATTAGATTGATGGAAAATAAATGTTCAATTCAATTATATACAAGTTACGGTAACATACTAAATTGAGTCCTGTTAACGATTTTTATCTCTCTAAAAATATTGTTTAGTAGTATAAAGTATTTGTATTATTAGGACATCCTGAATATTTCCGCTGTTTTAAGTCGTTCTATTATTTCAAATAATTTCCATAATGTTCGATACACTTTTGGCAATGTATTACAAGAGCATTAATTCTGCGTATAGAAATTTCGAATCTCTAAGAGAAAGAAACTGCTGAAAGATATTTTCAATATCTTTCTGTTTCCTAAACGGTTTTTGGTGTAAGGAAATTGTCAAGCGATAGGGAAAAGTGAAAATCGGTTGCACATAAATCAGGGGAACATGAGAGTTGAGGTAGAACGCGATTTTTGAACAATAGCATTGTCATGCAAAAGTTTAGGGCCTTTTCTGTTCACCAGGGCTGGTTGCTGCACCTTCAGTTTTTCAGTGGGCGACCTTCAATTCGGTACTGTACAGTAACTCTACAGTGACAGTGGTAGCCGCTCTTAGGAAACTGTAGTGAATTAATTCCGAAGTAGACTACCAAACTGTGAGCATGATTTTTTCGGATCGGTGAGATTCATTGGCGTCTTTCTTTCTCATAGAGATTTTTATTTTTATGTACGTGGAATTAAAAATGCTCTGTAATACGTTGGCAAAAGTGTATTGAACATTATGGAAATTCTTTTAAGTAAAAGTATTTAATTTCAATGGAATTATGTTTTTTTTTTTCAAAATAAACGGTTTAAAACCGCTGGAACTTTCAGGATGACCTAATACTTCGGTATATTATTTACATAGTGTTTTTTCCACATGGCCGAACACAATCTCACTAAGGGAGTGCTATTTAAGATCTACCTGCGAATGAAACGGACTACTCCCCTCTTGATCCGTTACACGTATCGTCTTTTGCATTTAAAAACAGATTGAAAAAAAAAGAGAAATATGTGATCTGCACTCTCTTCGTTTTATAAGAATGATACACGAAGGAGGATGAAAACATGTAAGGAAGTTGTGGACTGCACTGCTCTAAGAGACCAGTTCTGGCAATATCCAGAAGCAATGTTTCCAGAGCAGTTGTTAGCTTTAACAAAATTCCTAGATCGAAATTATGTAACAAATGAATAATATATTTATTAATAAGTTTAGTTCGATTCAAATTTCCCAGATAGCACACAGGTGTCTTGTGAACATCTTAAAGGGCGTCGAGTAAAAGTCTAAAGACGTCCACAAGACGTCTGAACGACGTCCAGACGTCGTTACAAATTCAGATGTCTTTGAAACGTGGCGCTGCGAAGCACTATACGCTGGCTTTAGAAACGCCTAAAAAACATCTTAAAGACGTAAATTTTATAGGTCGTTAAGACGTACCCAATTTATACGTCTTCAAGACGTCCAGATCAGATCGTAAGACGTTCAGACCAAAAATAGACGTAAGATGGACATCTCTAAGACGTCGTGTTCTGTCTGGCTTGTTTATTCTCATGGTTCGAACTGTTGTTTTCCCCTTTGCAGGATTACGTAACAATACAGGAAAGATGATGCTACGAATAAAAATTTGTCAGTATTTATATAAACAACGAATTATTACCCCTTTTTAAGGAAAATGCTGTTTGCAGGTTGGAAAAAAGTATGAGTTCACTTATGAAAACCTATTCATTGAAGAACTAATTACAAGGAAAGTTGTTTTCAGCAATCAGTTGTTGCTGGAAAATTCTCGTTTTCGTACTGTTAATACGATTTTTTTTATCAAAGTCTAACAAATTCTCTCTGGTCTTCGAAAAAGTTTTTTTTAGATCTGAACTGATTATTTTATTTGAAAAACCAAAAAAAAAAAAGAGAAACTAAGTGTGCGATGGTTTTATGTTTGAAACTCGCTTGAAATGGTCAGTTAGTTCGTATTAAATAATGCTACTGAGAATAAATCAATGAAGAGTAATAGCCATTATGAGTTTCGGGGGCATCAGATTCTGATTTAGCGATATCAAAGATACTTTGAAATTATCTACGCTACTCTGTTTTGGAGGACATGCATTTGTCTGTATTGTATAGATACAGGGTGAGGCAGGACACGTGGTGAAACCGAGTAGGGGGATAATTCTACATGTGAAAATAAACCAAAAATAAAGAATACAATTTTTTCGTTTAAAGTCTTGTTTTCGAGAAAATCGAGTTTAAATACTTATCGAGTACGAGTATATTTGATTATCTTCAGATTTCACGTTTGTACTAACAAGCAATTTCAATATCACGATAAGTACTAATAATACGTTTATTAACGATTTCATTATTTTACATGTACATTACCGAATGAACTGTTGAAAGTTACGTCCTTATCGACGCGTACAAATTCTTGCTTTTTAAATCAGAAAGTCGCGAACTGATGCCACGGTGTTTTGATAACTCTTCCTTTGAGCTGTAAAAGATTTACACTATTTCTTTGCGAAATGTGACATTACCGCTATTTATCAACATAAAAGTGCGAGCAGAAGAAACTGTTTATAAGGAATCTTTAAATTTCATTTTCTCGAAAACGAGACTTCGAAGGAAAACATTTTATTCTTTATTTTCGGTTTAGTTTTATATGTAGACGCGTCTTGCTTCACCCTATATATAAGCTTCAGATGTATTAAAAAATAATGGTAAGGTCAATAGTTTGTTTTGTATACAAGTATGCTGTAGCGGTAACGTACATACATACGTCCTTGGATGACCCACGTCTCGTAGGTAGCCTCGCGCAACTCTTACGGCTCACACCGTCATGATTTTTATCTTTCTTTCTCTAAGTTCACAATATTGCTTCATCATTTTCAAAAGCTTATTCTGTAGATGAAACTTCAAGGAATTGAGCAGTATTTTGTTCAGATAAGTCTATATGAGGTAGAGCAGAATTTTGAATTCAGAAATTGAATTTTTAATATATAATATTGCTGTTTATATTGATAATAATAAACGTATTGATACATATTTAGAAAATGTACTATTTCGCCTTTAAAATGATCTAAAGAGCAAGTTAGTAGTATCTCTTAGCTATTTAGAAATATTGAGAGTGAAAGGGTGCCATATCAGCCTACTTCACTCGATTTTTCAACACTTTAACATTTAATATTTTGCACACCGTTTAAAATTTTGCAGAAGTTAGTTTCTCATGTCTGCCAATAAATGTACCGAGTTTGAAAAAAAGAATCGGTGATCTAGTGGTAAAAAGTTGAGTACGTGGAGTCAACCAAGTGCGGGCAACATCTTGAAACTGTTGAAGGGAAGAACAGATGGAGAAATTGGAAGGAAAAGTGAAAGTGAAAGTGAAGAGTTGTGCAGATGTAGAAAAGTACAGGAAAAATTGATGTATAGTTTGTCTAAATATTTTCGGCAAGATCGTGGTGGCAATGCCGTACTGCCACATTATTATTACTGTTATTAAAAAATAATAAATGACGTTCTATCCTATTGGGGGAAATATGTAAGATGTAATAGAAATTATTTCAACTAGAATTTTTAAAATCATATAAATTATAATGATTCAAAAAATGACCTATCGAGAGAACACTTATTTTCCACCAACCTAACACGTATAAGACATCATATTGTGTAAACAGTATCTGAATTATCTAAAAAATATTGAAAAAAATATTTTTTTAATTCATTAACTTTGATACTGTAATATAAATCTTAACTATTGAATAATGTTTGCTTGCAATATTAACCTGAATTAAATTTCGTAAGCTTGGAATTGATAAAATAATATTTTGAAACAACAACCGGCTGAATTGGCATTTGCGATCTGATTGCTAAATGAAAAGCGCCTTTCTTAAAAGGCAGTAGTGTTTGATTAGAGTGTCGATGTCCTTCTGGAAATATTAAAATATGTACCTAAAAGAAAAATGATAAAACATTTTACGTACAACAATATTCTATATTTCGGAATGGATGAAAAACACGAATCACCTTTGAGTCTCTAATAGATTTCGCGGTCGCATTCATAATGCTGCGAGCTTCTTCACTATTTCTTCTATTAATAAAAATAGTTCCCCACAGCCAGGATGCTAAACCAAGCTGTCCCGCATATAGAATCTCTTTTTTTGCAATTGCTGCACAGTTATCAATTAATGACCACAACACACCCATAACTAAAATATAAGTTTGCTTATTTATTTGTATTACACATATGCCATATTTTTTTTCTCTCTTTGTTTTTTTACAGAAAAATGACTCTTATTGTTAGATTTTTAATTTTTTAATTATTGTAATAGAGAATAAAGCTTCTATTATTTTTTTATATACCCTTATTTAAATTTAAGTGATCAATGCATGTATTTACCAGTCATATCCAATGCACTTTGGTGATTGACCAGTATAACACTGCCTGATTCATTAACAATATTCTCTTTCCCACGAACACGATACGTTAGTCCGATAAATTTACAACATTGTCTAATACACCACGCAGTCACTCTAAAACATGTATTATATTTAAGTTGATTGTATATAAAGTACAATGAAGAAATTTAATTATGAAACATGTTTGCAGTGGAATCAAACAGTGTTTAAGAAGAGTGGTTTCTCTTTTAATCATTCCAGTATATTAAAAGTATAATAAAAGTATGCTCTACTGACAAGAGTAGCGTTAGTAGAATAATGTAGCTACGTTGTTAGATCATCATATAACCTAGTGGGAACCATTCTCCATACAATTAGTGCTATCTGACTCCATTCTGATCATGTTTTATAATAAAATTCTCTCATTGCATAGGTATATAATTTACATATTACATTGCTTGCAATATTCTTATACTTTTTTTTATAGCTTACAGTGCATTCCTCCAATCTCTGATTCGTAGTAACATAAAAGGTAAGTGCAGAGTTGTTGATATAACAATGGTTACTATATAACAAGAGAACTTGAGGTGATATTGTAGTCTTTCACATGAAACAAGAAATGTCAAGGTGAAGAGCGTGATTACAAACCCTGCAGTGTAACAGATGACAGATAATATCCTGCAATTATAAGCCAAAAATTTATGGTGGAATTATAGTTATTTATTTATTAAGTCATTAACAAATATACTTAAAAAATTTATTTTTTATGTACTCTTGTACACCACTCATAATACATATAACAATGTACCATATCATTTGTTTAATTTGTAAAGTGTGTTCTTGTTATTTATTTGTATGTACATTTTTGCTTATAAATCAATCCAAGCAATATAATTATTAGCTTCATTATTACTTATTTGTATACTAATAAAATTTCAATTACACAAAGTTTTAACAAATTTACGTAAACATTAAAGTTACATAACAAATTTGTATACATTTGGCTGTTTCATAGCTTTGTAGAGTTACTGACTGATAAATAAATGACTGTCTTGCATGTCAATTGTTTCATTACATGTTTTGATTTTTATACCAAACATTGGAAGCAAAACTTTTGTTCAAAATGTATTTATAACAGTCTATAATATGGCAGAAATAATTGGAAATATCCATCAGTCACTACTTCAAGAAACAGGAGCTTGTTCTATTCCTTATTGTACTTGTACTATTGTAGAGAAGGAAACTTCCAAAAATGTGTTACAATTTAAAATCTTACAAAATCATGTGTATAGTAATTGACAGTGGCAATCATTTGTTCACCATTTAGCAATTTTATGGAGTCATCAAACCAATTGTACAACTTTGTTTAGCTAATAATGAATTTATAATTTTCATTTCTTATAACTATTTATAGTAAACTGGTATTAGAAAAAACATTAACAATTTGTTTTACATTTAATGATAATAAATACAGTACTATTGCTGCTTCTGAAGGGACAAGCAATCATCCATGCTGTTTCTTTTTCACAAAGAACAATATATAAATTTATACATTTTATAACAGTTTACTTCAAAACAAAAGACACTTGTCCCTAAAATTTTGTTTAATATATATGTAATTTAGGAGATGCTATACTAATATATCCCTGATAATTGCAAAGAAAAGAATTTATACTACTTAATACAGATGAACCTATGTAGATATAATAAAGTTATACAATGTATAAAAATATAGACTTCGGAGGCAAACATACTAAAATATTAATACTTAGATAAAATACTATTTTTATTTTACATGCAACTTATTTATTTACAATGCATTAATTATACTTTTTGAGTTATAATAACAGTTCAAGTGTGTCACTATAAATTATGCATATAGAACAGTAAAGCAGTATGATAAAGTTTTGAATAAGACATAATGGCTACTGTTATCTATGAAAAGTGGTTGATTACTTAACAAACATTGAACTTTGAACTATCTTCATATATGTCTTATCAATGAAATTCCACGCATTTTTTCTGTCACGAATTTACGTTGGTTTAGAATAAATCGAGGAAGCTCATAATTAATATCAAGGTGTGCAGAAAGAATTCTATCATGTGTAAAATACAAATATACGAATCTTTTATCTGAAGAAAGTTCAATTTTTAAGAATATTCTGCTCAATACTTTGAAAGTTTTCGAAGAAAAGTTAATGCGTATAATTTTGTCAAAAAGTAAATATGCATAAAATAGAAAAAGGGCAAATATTTAAGGATTTATTGTTAAAATGAATCAATGTAATGTTACATTTTGTGAAATGACAATGAATGAAAATGACAATTCTCGACAATTTTCGAACTTTCAAACAATTTTTGAAATACCTATCTCATCTATCTATTTCATGTGACAATAACCCTAGACATATTTTATTAAATTAGCTTAATTGTTGGTTTTAAAAACAAAAGCAATGAAAAAATAACTTACATGTTTGTCTTACTCACAAAATGCTTATAAACTATAAAACAATTTTAGCAGAAAAATATACTTTTAGTTGTCGCAAAAATAATTCTAGAGAATGTATTTTCATTTTATTTACTTCACGTGTCTCAAATATACTAAACACAAATTTGAATAGAAAACGTATTGCGATACCGTCTTAATATTAGAAATGAATAGGACAAATACATAATTGTCGGTATTTATAATAATCAATGTATAATAGTCAATTTTTAATATATAATAATCAAAGATTAATTGTAAAAAATTAATTCAACACGATTAAAAAATGCTGAAATAAATCGTATATAAAACTGTTGCAATTTGATATGGTGTATGAACTGCTTTAAAATGGTGCTTGATTTCGAATAGCCATGAATAATGTAATTGATTAAACTTGTAAACCGAAGCCAAATAGCAAGATAGTAAAGAAACGATTATTTCTAAAATAAACAGAGAATGACAAATGTTTTGAAATATTTTGTTGTATTATTGTGATTACGTAACAGTTTTTAAAGAAACTTTAAATTAACAGTTTTATTACTTTCATTTGTTCTAAAATAACCTAAAAATTTATTAAAATTAACAACTATTTAGACAAATTAAGTTATTCATTAAAATTTAACACATTTTTTTATCGTGTGTAAAATATTGACTATAAATTCAGTGGCTCCTTGTCAGTTTCCAAGAATTTAATCACTGTACATTACATTATCTTAATATTAGTGTTTTCTTTACACTCTTGTAATAACAACTTGTTTGTTTAATTTCTAGAATATTTATTACTGACTTTAGGTAGTAGATAATTATAACATAATAAGTATAACAGTTTTAGAATTATTATATAATTACTATCGTTGATAAAGTGCTTGTCACGTGTTGTATTTATGTTGACGAAATTCCAAGTGGAACATATCGAATTTTTTTCTTTAGATCCATAACAAAATTGGTATTTAAAACACTGATATTTTTACTCTCTACATTTTACATTCTGTAATAAATACCTACATATATACACTTATACGTAATGTATAAATTACACGTAAATTTCACATCACTTATTTAAACATACAGCACTTGGAATTAAATAGAAAATAATTTTTTAATTTTTCTAGAAAAATTTGTTTAATTACTTTTGTCCTTTTAGATCTAGAGGTTCTTAAACACTTATGAATGTAACTTTTGTTAGGAAGAGTTTAACTAGATGCAGTTGACAGTCATTGTGTAACGTCACTGATATTTTCGTTCGTTTTAAAAGCCAAAAATATTATAGTATGATGATATTGTAAAATAATTTTTTAATAAGTGTAAAAAGTAGACAGCTTTCATTGTTTTAAAGTTCTATTTTATGTATTATATGAAACTCATGTGTCGATTCAATATTAAATTAATTAATCGATATTGTTAATTTAATGATTTTTCGCGTTAAAAAAATGTTGCTGACGCACTATGACTTGTTATGGAGTTCTATATTTAAATGTTATTTGACTTACGTGTCATACATGTTGGTTGTTGATTGTAAAACTAGAAGAATTAAAAGTAAGGAGCAGCAAATGACTTGTCACTTAACTGTCAACCGACACTCTTATACTAAGATTATGTTTTAATAGATATGCGTTCAAGTATAATAAGCGTGATAAGTTTCGTGCTCTTTCGACTTTTTTCGGCAAATGCGTTACGTATAATAGCAAAATTATATTTTAAAGATTACTATTAAGTTTTCCCGCTTAAATATGAATGTATTATATAACATCGGCTCCACAGATACTTATTCATGTATAAATATTTAATATTCGTATTAAAATAGGTATAACTGCAATAATTGTAGCGAATAATGAATACTTTTCTGATTTAAGTCGACAAATTAACATGAATTAACATAAATAGATATCTTTTACGTGTGATATTTTTAGAATTTGTAGGAATTACGTTGAATAAGTAAATCGTACATACATAAATGCTTGTGAAAGGAAAACGAACGTATGAAATCGTTCGTAAGAAGTAAACTTAACTTCACGTTACCTTTAAATAACAAAATTATTCTGAATATTTACACAATACTTTATACTTGTATGAACACAATACAGGGTGTCTCGTGCAATTTGGTGAAGCTGTATGCATTTAAAATGGCTAAATTAAACATTTCGAAAAGAAAAATTAAATGGTATATGTTTTACATTTCTGCATTACTTTTGCGGTTGCAAAATGCAGTTGTACTCTTTTTGTAAATGGAAATATGTAAGTTTTCTTGTCCAAATCAATTCCTTGAGTTATTCTGCGTATTTAACACGAATACTATTCAATTTTCCCTTCTTAAATTTTTTTCTGTCTCTAACCATTTTAAAGGTTAGCTAATAACTTTGCCTAGGAGTGAGACATTTGTATACAGACCTACACATACATGAATATATAAGTGCGCACTTAACACTTCAACGGAAAACTATACAGGGTGCTCTGAAAGTATTGTACAAGTGGGTAGGTTATGATTCCTTACGTAAAAATAAATAAAAAATGTAGAGTAAAATTATTTCATCCGAAGCATAGTTTTTGAGAAAATCGGGTTTGAAAATCTGTTGCGTACGTTTGCATTTATGTACACAGCTAATTGTAACTTACATACATTTCTAAGTAAGACACGGTACGTCGAACGACATAAATGCCTATCGTGTTTGTATACAATGTTTACGTGACTTTTCAAGAAAGTACAAACATAAAGTTATATCAACAATATTTTATTATAGCAATTAAGGAATTGTTAAAAAGTCTCGGATGAAAAAATTTTATTCTATATTTATTATTTCTTTTTGCATAAGGAATCACCTCATGCTTGCTTGTACAGTAATTTTAGCTGCACCCTGCATAAAAAACAATATTTCATATAAATTATGTTTTATTCAATATAACGCTTTTAAACAGTAAATTAACTAAATTACGTGTGACACTACGTATATTATTCTACTTCGAAATGAGAGCATTTTTTAAATTAATTTTTGACGAAATGTTGTTTTCGAATTTTGCATTCCAAATAATTCAGTAAAAGTTCCATACGGTTTTCGATTATTCTAACAATGAAATTCTCCAATCATTCATACCACCTCAGTATCTTACTGCAGGCTATAAATTTTGATATTTATAGTTTATACCCTTCAGTTTTTTTCTCTATATCGTATAGTGTCTGTAGAATTTGAATATATTAAATTTACTTTTATTCATAAAAATTATTTTGTTCCAATACTCCCTTGATTACATAATCGTTTGTAAATTCTAACCTTTTCTTTTTATTAGTCTCATCTATGTAACATTTTTTTACAATGGTATTCTTGACTCCCCCGAAAATTCCGAAGAGTACTATTTACATTATGTACATAAATTGCAGTCTGCTTATAATATGTGAAATTTCAAATAAATCTTCGTATTACATAATTGTGCAAATTAATAATTTATTTTCGTTCTTTCATAATAATTATAATAATATATACATTTGTATGTTACTACTTGAACGATAATTACCGATTGATATCACTAGTAATTACTTGGAGCTGATTATGTCATGTTTACATTAAAAATGTTAGAGTGCAGATATAACAAAGTAAGAACTGTACGAATATTTATTGCACGTCTCTTTTTGTTACTTATTTATGTTCTTATATTTTTTATAAAAGTTTCACAGAATGTGCATACTATATTTGTTTATCGAACATTGTTTAATAAATCTAATTATACAACGTTTTAGTAGAAAGTACTGATGCGTATGTGTATTTTTTACACCCATTGTACTTGCCAATAACTCTACAAAAATGTAAAAGATTTAGTGTCATAATTTAAGGTTGTTTTTGAAGGACAAGGTGTTTATACGTAAAAATAAAACAGCATACAAAGTAGGAGAAGTATAAGAAGAAAGAGTAAAAGTGTCAAAGTGTCATATTTCATCATATCAAATAGTGTCATATTTCAATCGTCGAATTCATTACAGATAACATTTTTTTATAATAACTTCAATTAAAAAGTAAAAAGATACAGTCATTTAATTAAAATTAATTAATGAATAAAAATGAAAATGTTCTACAGTTAGTAAAGCTTTGCATAACAAAAATGATTAAAAAATGTGCAATGATTAAGATGATTAATCATTTTAATTATTTTGAATATTTTCTTTTCTACTAGAATAAAATACGTAATAATTAATTATAGTCGCTTAGAATGAAATATATAATAATTAAATGCAGTCGTTTTATTTGACTGTGCTGAAAATAATTTATCATTTTTCAGTTTTCCATATTACAAGCTTGAAACTCGCGCGAGATTTACCTTGAATGTGCGTGGAGAATTCTAGAAATGCGGGAATCTCATTTTGCACACGATTTAAGCTTCAAAGCATTAATATACATAAACGATTTTACAAGTGACAAAATGGCATTGTAAAGGGAAAATTGTGCATATTTAAAAATATTTTATTTTCAGATTTTTATATAAGATCTTAAAACATATAATACTATTGAATGTTTCATTATATTCTTTTTATGAATTACAAAAATATATAACTTCTGCTCAAAAAACTATGTTTTTAAATTATACAGAAGAAACTTAAAATAAACATTTGTAATGGTAATGTTACGTCCCAGATTCCTAAAGGTGGATGTGTGAAAGGTAAAAGTGTGAAAAAAAAATTGATTTTGCCTTTTTCATGTTTTTTTTATAGGCACAAGTATGCTCTTTGCGATGAGATCAACCCCAATTACCTAGAATAATTATTGACTTCATAATTTGCAATTAAAATCATGTATTAATAATGAAAGTAGACAATTATTTATTACATTAAAAAAAATTACAAAACACCTTTAAGAAATGAGAAAATCAACAATTTGTGTTTGAAGAGGTACATGGAGTGTTTTGTTTTACCCTTTTCTTCTTTAGGGCCTATTGGGGTCGGGGAGCATAACTTTATACGAGTTTATCTCTAAAAGTCGTTTTTGCATGTACCTTTTTCAGAGCATGTCACACAACACACACACGCATATAAATTTTATTGAAATGAAAACTAGAGCGGGCACTTGTGAGAGAATTGAAGATTTGAAAGATTTTGATGAGACATCTGATGGCGACGCCACTCAGACGGGAAATTTGAAAGATTCGAAAATGCCCGCCTGTGAAGGCGCCCAGGGACGTCACAGTAATATTTTTATTTTTTAAATAATTTTTTGCCAAAATACTTTGTACATGCGCACATATCATCCAAAGAGTGAAATTTATGATTACATATTCTTTCATTTTATTTTTAATTTTAATCGTCTAAATTATACTTTATATACTTTTTACTCTAAAAATGATG